CCGGTGCCGCGTCCTTCTGCCTTAATATTTCCCACGACTGTAACTCAGGTTTTGTGAGGGACAGTTTGGCTGCGTGAAGTCGACAGCTTTCCCAAGGGGATATGTGTCACGGGAGGTCCCGGTTCCACCAGGAACTCCAGTCACGTCTCCTTTGGAGGGCCAAATCCGAAAAAGTACTTCCTAGGGCTTTCTTTGGCCACGCCCAGAATCTGCTTCTCATTGGGCCGCAACAAAGGGAGACCCGCCTACTTCTACATGACGTCACAGGGGCGTGGTTTTATCGAGACCTTYGTTCCAGCATCCACCCTAGAGAAGTCCATCCTCAGGGGCTGACTTTCAGAGCCCAGGACCGGGCTTCTGGCCCTCAGCCTCCTCCCTTCCTTGTCCTGGGGACCTGGATTCCAGCTTGGTGCGGGTGACAGCCTCGATATGGGGAAGGGACCGTTTCTAGTCTAGGATTAGTACTTCCTGAAAGCGCTAAGGTCTTTTTCTTTACTGTTACTGGCGCCTGCAGCCTTATGGGAATTGAGGTTCAATAATGATATTCTTTGCTCACTCAGATAAGGATACTTTTTGCTCACCACCTTCTCTGGGTGAGGAAACACCAGATCACAAGAGTGTGGAAGGTATGATGGCCACAATGAGGATGATAGGACAGGTACTGAGCTCTCTGACGATTGAGCTCTGGAAATTCTCTCTCTGTACATTTCTGCACGATTCAGAGCACCAGAAACACAGGAACAACTCTCACACTTTCAGCAGCGAAGAGCTGCCCGATCTGCTTAGGTAGCATATCTCAAGCTCCTATCTTATCAATATCTCCAGTTTTTAAACACACACACACACACACACACACACACTGCCAAGACAGGTGCAGAGACAAGGGTTGAGGGTGTGCATCTTTAATTCATACCTCCCACCCTCCTTTGTCAGCTATGTTAGGAATGGTACCCTGAAACCTGAGAAGACTACAGCCTGGACTTTTTTGAATGGATGTGATTAGATTTCGCTGTGTCAGAGAAACTCTTTCACCCTTCAAAAAGCAGCAAGTGTTCCTGAAATCTGAGTCGAAAGTCTCATACTCTGGCCAGACCCTGTGCTCCTGCTTGGATTTGACATGAATTAAGGGGTCTCTGAATCCTCAGATCCTTTCATCCCAGACCTACCTGAAGCCAGATTTAGTGCTTCTGTGAGTTCAGGGACACATCATGGTTCACCGTCTTTCTGCAGACTTGCTGGATTGCAGAAATCAGAACTCAGATACTCAGACACAGCTAGAGAAGAGAATACTTTATCTTAATCCCAGAGACAGTAGATGCAGATCTTGTGTTTGGAAGATTAGAAGTCTCCCTGGATTGCTGGAAGGTTCTGCCACAGAAGTTGCTGCTGCATTCTCCAATAGCGATTCCTCTTCTATCTCCCATGTTTTCGTCTCTGCTACAGGGAAGAAAAATCCTTTGTGACTTTCATTGAGGTCCAAGGTGGTGCACAGATTTGGCTCATAACTACTCATAACTGCCCCAGCATTTCCAGAGCCTGTGAGCAGAGGAAGAGGCTGGTTCTCACCTAGCATGAGCCAACCCTAGGGTTCATCTGAGCTCAATCCCCAGTACATACTCCAAACAGAAGCTTGCTCACTCGAGGCAGTCTCCACACCGTGATCTTTCTGGCAGGGGTTGGTTGCTGAGCTATGACAGTCCCTTCATCATATTCTTTGCTAGAATTAAATAGAATTCTGAAGTGCTGTCCCCTAGTCCCTGCAGGGTTCTTCTGGCCCTCCCTTAGAACAACCCACAGTAGGAATTAGTCCAGGAACCCTGAAGGAGAGCTAATGAGGGCCTGCTCTAGATCAACCACGAGGTCCTTCAGTCTTCTGAACACAGGGCAGAAGTAACACCTATGCTAGGAAAGACCAGCCAAGTGGACTCTAGAAGGAAGGGTTCCCTGTTCTCAGGGGCTGCCATGCAGAAATACTATGGATATGATGATCAGGTGGGCACCGTGGCTTCTGGAGCCACCACGAGCTTCACTGGGCACTGCCAGCCATCAGAAAAGATGTTCTGCTGGTTGTAGGTGTTCAGGCAGCTCCAGGAAGCCCCTCCCCTRCTTCTTTCCACCTCTGGCCAACTAGAATCTCTCTGGCCATGGGCACCACCTGCTCTGGGACCACCCCTGACTTCTCCAGAAGCTGCCAGGCCTCTGGAGACATGTCTGTCTGACTCTAGCCTGATGAGACCAGTCCCAAAAGTCTCCCTGGCTTCCAAGGCCCAGCCCCTGTCTGCACTGGAGACAAGTCTGCATTAATGCCCACCACTCAGGCAGGAAGGCAGCCTCAGGCTTGAAGACCTTCAGGAACTCTGAGTCTGGCAGGGCAAAGTTGGTAAAGTAGGCAGTGTCTCCACCAGCCAGGTAGGCAGCCCAGAAGCCAAAGGTGCCAACGGTCACGGTAGTGTGGTTGCACTGAGTGAGCAGGGCCAAGTCCTTCCCTGGTGAGCCACATCACCCCGAGAGATGTCAGTGTTTTCTCAGCACCACTTCACGCCATTGCTGCTGACCACAGGGATGGGGCCTTCATGCTGTGCCCCAAACCAGTCCATAGCCTGCTGAAGGTAGGCGTGGTTGCTCACCACACCCTTCCAGCACAGGGCCATCATCGCAGATAGTACCTATTGCAGATGACACCCACGAATGTGTGATACCATGCCCCAGAAAGGCTCAGGCATGGCTGACTCCGTAAGTCGAGGTCCTCCTCCTGAAGGCAGTCATCAGGGGAATTCCCTGCAGATCTAAGGTTGTGGGAAGAAAATCCAACAGCCAGGGAAACCAGAGTGGTACAGAGTACCTTCTTCCAAATCATCCAGCCCAAGGAATGAGTGCTTCCAAATTTTCCAAAGACATCCCTCCCCATGCTAAATGGACAGTCTTCCTCCCTCATTCTCATATAATGGATCTCTCCAACTTCCTCCATTTCCATACCCCTGGCCTCACTTTTTCTTTATTCCACTCCAGTGATGGAGCCTTACGGATGTTTCCCCTTCTACTAATAGTCATTCTCAATGTCTCAAAGGAATGAGACCTTTTAAAAGACCCCCTGAAACCAATGTTCTTCCATTAGCTAGGACTCATGAAGGCGCATTTCCTAGGTGACCCCTTTCTAGAGTGCCTTCTCTCCATTATTCCCATCCTTGACAAGGAAACCTGCTCCAACAGTGGACTCCTCCACCATGCGACCAGCACACTGGTTTCATTAATGAGGTTCTTGGCATAAAAGCTAACTAGTGAGTTCAAAATAAACACACAGACTCAGTTACCTTTTTCCATGACCAGGTCCTAGACGGCTCCCCCTCTGGTTCCCACCTCGAACCACCCGGTAGGGCAGCAAGGCTTACTCAGGGCTAGCAGGAGAGAGAGAGAGGGAGCACACCAGGGAGTAGCCTTTTATTGGGGAACAAGAAATTCAGGGGAGAATTCCATCCAATGAAGGCTGAGGGGGGGCGCACTCCAAGGTCAGGGTCAGTGATTGGCCCCAGGGTCAGTGGTCAGTCGCACCCCACACGGACAGGCTCTCGCACCAGGAGAGGGTGGGGAAAGCTCTGACACAGTTTAGCCAGAGCGCCTCAGACCCAAACCGGGAGTTGCCCAATCACGTGTGAGAAATGCTTCCCACAGACTCCTCTATTTGCCCCCACTCACGTGTAGGAGGACTCCAAAGACACACCCACGTCATCAACAGAGGTTCTCACTATGCCCCTCCCTACAGGGGACACCTCCTAGAGATTTCCATACAGTGGCTCTTCTAGTAACCATGCTTTCAAACACCTGCCTCAAGGAGACAGCTTCCTACTTCATCCACTCCCCAAACAGATGCATTCCAAAGAACCCTTCTTAAAAAGGTGCTCTTGTCTCCATTCTGTAAAAATGGAAGCAGTGTGTCACCTTTCTAAAATAAACCTAAGACTGTGTGCATGAATGAATGTGTACTAGTGCCACTGATATGTTCAATGCACAGATGAAAATACACTCAAGTTCACCACTGTCACCCAAATGTGTAAATGCACACAAGTGCCAGCACCCCCTGCCTGCATCCACAGTGGACAAACGTCCCAATGAAAAGCATCACCTTTTACAAATGGGTTCATCCACTCCCCCACCAAAGAAATACAGGCTTTTCTAGATCAAGACCCCAGACACCAGTCAAGGATGTCCCTGCCCCAGGACATGCACTCTCCTGTCGCCCTCCCTCAAGAAATGATGTCTGCACGGGGTCTCCTTCCTGCAGTGGACTCTTCTTTGAAAAGACACAGCTTGCCCTCTACTTTCAGTGACAGGACCATGCCCTGTTTGTGCCTCCAGTGTAATCTTGTCAGCCATCTCCCCTCTGCCTCCTCCACACTCACCACGCCATTTCCTCCTCTGCAACCTGGTTGCGCTGTTGCTTACCAGAGGAATTCTGAGAGCTATAGATTTATCACTCTCCAATGACAGGGGGGGACATAGGGCTCTGGGTGGTTGGGGAAGCAATGGATGCTCACCTGGGCATCTGATAGCACTGGTGCAGTAGGTAACAGTGTGATAGGGGCTCTCCCAGAACAAAAAAGGCAATATGTCACACTTAGCTTTCATGCCAACTCTGCTGTAAATCTGTCGGCGCTATGTAACTCATGCATGATTTATGCATGATACTGTTCCAGCTTTTTTGCACGGTATAGCATGAGAATACTCAATCAAAATATATGTTCCCTGATCTGAGAGAAAAAGAGTTTGCAACAGGTATATAAGGCAACACCTCCCTGCATTTGGGGCTTGGCTTTTGGATGATAATCTGCCCTGTCTGCGCTGATACAAAAGAAACCCTGCTTCCTGTCAAATGCCCCAGTGTTCTGACTCCCCTGCAAAGCAGCATTTCTTGGGGACTAGTCCAGGAATCAGAGGCAGCAATTATACTTCTGGACTGACTCGAATCTGGTCCAAACATGCACCGTGGTCTGTAAAGATGTTCCTCCTGATCTTTACTTGAGTGTTTACAGCCACGCTGTTGGTATGTGGTGCTGAGGATCGAACCCAGGCCGCACGCATGCCAGGCGAGCGCGCTACCGCTTGAGCCACATCCCCAGCCCCTGCAAATGCCTTTTAGTTTATAGGACTTAAACACTTATGAAAAATTCAATTTAAATTGGTTAAATGAATAAAAGGAAATATATGTCTTTCCTGACCCACCTGTTTTTCTATGTGGTAAGGCAATTAATAGAATGTTGGTCTCTATATGATGTTTAAAATATGGTCTATTGTTTCTAGGATTTTTCTTTAGCAGGAAAAATATGGCTTTTACTGTTACACTTGTCTGATATCTTGGTTTTTGTGGATAACCTGAAGTTAACATTTAAAAATAAGTTTATTAGGGGCTGGGGATGTGGCTCAAGCGGTAGCACGCTCGCCTGGCATGCGTGCGGCCTGGGTTCGATCCTCAGCACCACGTACGAACAAAGATGTTGTGTCCACAAAGGTGGTGTGATAACTGAAAAATAAATATTTTTTWAAAATAAATAAATAAATAATAAAATAAAATAAAAATAAGTTTATTAGATTGAACCTAAATGGGACTAAAAGAGTTTGTTGGAGACGACATTTAATTCGCAATGTTAAAATGCTAAAACATCACCTGCTAAATATAAATTCAAGTACCCTTGACTTCTTAAATTTCATAAGAAAAAGATATATATATTATTATTGTGTCCTTATAAACTGGTAAAGGGAAAAAAGAGTTTAGGATTGGTTTGTTTCTGGGTCTTCCCTAAATCATGGTTACTAAGAGTTAATACTCTAAAAGATATATTTCTATATACAAAGAGTACAAAAAGTCTCAAATGCATTTCAATTAAAGTACGGTAAAAACACAAACATAAGGCATTTCACATTATAATTTGTCTAAAATCAAAAATTTCATAAGGATTGTTTCAGAGTATAATGTAAAGGGTCAGCAACCAGGAAAGAGACATAAAAACTATAGGTATAGACTGATAATTGGTGCAACCAGTATGGAAAGCAGTATGGAGAAAACTTAGAATGGAACCTCCATTTGACCCAGTCATCCCACTCCTAGATTTATATCCAAACGACTTAAAATCAGCATTCTATAGTGATACAGCCACATCAATGTTTATTGCATCTCAATTCACAATAGCTATGGGACCAACCTAGGTGCCCTTCAATAGATAAGTGGATAAAGAAACTGTAGTGTAAAAATACAATGGGATATTACTCAGCCTTAAAGAATGAAATTATGGCATTTGCTGGTAAATGAGTAGAACTGGAGAATATTATGCTAAGTGAAATAAGTCAATACCAAAGAACCAAATGCCTAATGTTTTCTCCGATATGTGGACACCAATTCACAATGGGGGTGGGTGGGTGGAGAATAGTAATATTTTGGACTAAACAGAGGAGAGTGAAAGGAGAGGAGGGGGCATGGGGGTATAAATGATAGAATGAATTGGACATTATTACCCACTGTGAATATGATTACACGACTTGTGTACATCATGTACAACCAGGGGAATGAAAAGTTATATTCCATCTATGTATGAGTGTCAAAATGCATTCTTCTGTCGTGTATAACTAGAATGAAGAAAAAAGGAAAAAATTATAGGTGTAGAAAAATATTTTAATATCAAAATTTTAAAATGTTTCTGGATAAAAATGTGTAAATAGGTTATTGTGTGTCTAAGTAAGTTGCACAGGTTTGAGAATGAATTTCAAGAAGCTTGTGATTAATTTGGCTATAATGAGTACCATCAGTTGAAGTTATTTAGAGGTTTTTCCTAAGGTCAAATATTAATGTACTGATATAAACCAGAATTTAATTCTCTGTTAAAGTAACAAGGTTTTCTTAAGCCATTTATCTGCTCTTATTTTTCAAGATTACTGTGCTTCTTAGGTTTTATTATTTAGGGGAACTAGTTTTAAAGAAATTAAGGTTTGTACAGTCAACTCATATTTTAGGTCATTACACTAAGGGTTCTACATTTTCTTTAGAAGTTATACTTGGTTAATATAAGGATATCAATGCAGTTGTGATGTTACCGACTTATTTGTATATTAGATGTATTCATATCTTCCAACTATACAAGTCTTTTTTAGAGAACTTTACCAAGCTGGTATTCTCCAAACTAAAGTTGTCTGTAGTGGCAGTCCCTTTCAGACTCATGTAGAAATAACAAATTTATTAGCTGGGGACTTATTTATGTCATTAATATTTTGTAATTTGATAAAAAATAACCTGTCATCCAAAAAGTGATATGTATAAAATTTTGTTACTCTCCACACTGGGATGGAAATTTAAATGTATTTTTTGGAAGGAAACAAGGAAAGCCTAATTTGTTTAAAGGTTAGCAACATGGAATATGGAAGCATTTTGCCACTTTATTACTTTTCCACAAAAAAAATGGCTAAGAGATCTCAAGTTTTGATTCATGTTTCAGATGATGATGATGTAGTGTGTCATTTGTCAAGAGCCTCATCTTACCTGAGATATGTCTCTATCTCTCAGCCTACTCACTCTTTGTTAAGATGGAGTCAAAGTAGGGTACACTTAAGCTCATTTAAAGTTGTGTTCAAAGGAAAAATTTTTAAAATTGTAGTTGAACCCAACATCTTTATTTTCTGTATTTTTTTTATGTGGTGCTGAGGATCAAACCCAGGGCCTCGCATGTGCGAGGCAAGTGCTCTACCGATGAGCCCCAATCCCAGCCGCTCAAAGGATAGATTTTTGTGAAGATTACTGTGATCTCAAAATCACCAGGGGATAGAACACAAAACCAAGTAAAGGTTTGGGAAATTATAAAAGACATGTAACATTATAAGAGTTTTAAAAGAAAGTAAAATTTGTAACAGGTCTCATATGTGATTGAGTTGGCATATCTTTGGTTCTTTGTGAAGGCAAACTAGACACCAAAGGTATGTTATTATTAGATATATTATTATTATAGAAATTATGTTTCTTGGTTCAAAGCTATTATACAAACTAAATGTTTTTGGTCTTGTTAATGACACTTTGTATGTTCCTATGGAACTTTATAAATTTTGCCTGTGTCCTGAAATAATATTCCTTCTAACAGGACCTGAGTTAATTCTGAAATAAGCCATTACCATGGGACAGACAAAATAATAAGGCTGGCTCTTCCAGTACTAATGCTGACCCCAATTAAATGAAAGGGATAAATAACTGTAAAGTTTTAAGTTAAAATCTAGTACTCCCAATCCAAGACTCATGAAACCTGCCTGCTGGATGTTTAAAGCCAAAACAAAGTTAAAGGGCTAAAGGAAAACAGCCAATATTTGGTTCTTGCCCTCTGAGGGCATCTATGGCCCAGGGAATAATGGGAGTTTTTTTCCTAAGGGCTTTACAACTCAGGGTCACATGATCTCCTGATCAGGGGGATCAAAGGGACCCTTGAGAACAGGAAGCCAACCAGTGCACATTCTGCAAAGAGGATGGTTACTGAAAAAGGAAATATCCCCAATACTTCCAAGGGAAGTCACATTTGGTCAGGAAGATGGTGACCCATCCTGGCAGATGGAACAACTGGTAGAGGAAACTAGAGGCTTCTCACTAGTTCCCAAGAGTGAACGCCTGAGGAATCTCAGCTGACCCTTGAGAATAGGAACAAGGTCAATTTAGGCCAACTTGGTCTTGAATATCTGGGAGATTTATAAACAAAACAGCCATTCATGGGCCAGCATTCATGACTAAGGTGGTGTAATTGATGACAGAGGAATTAAAGATCACCCGGAAGTTACACACTGTGTGGTGTCCACAGAGCTCCAGGAAGGTGGAGTGAAAGAACCAAACTCTAAAGTTACTACTGTGTCAGGAAACCCAGCTGCACTGGGACCAGGTATTACTAATTATTAAGAATTAAGTCTACCCTGCTAGACAGACAGGGTCCTCTTCTTATGCCATTCATTCTTGTGTGTGTGGAGGGGGGAGTACGGGGGACTGAATTCAGGGGCACTCAACCACTGAGCCTCATCCCCAGCCATGTTTTGATTTTATTTAGAGACAGGGTCTCACTGAGTTGCTTAGCACCTTGCTTTTGCTGAGGCTGGCTTTGAACTCATGATCTTCCTGTCTCTGCTTCTTGAGCTGCTGAGATTACAGGTGTGTGCCACAGTGCCCAGCCTTATGCCATTCTTTATGAATGCCCTCCTCCCATTATAAAGGGTATATAAGATCTAAAAAGTGTGCAACTTTACTCTGAGGCAGCAGATGCAGACTGTAGGCTTTACCCTGATCCCTAGACACCTTTGGATTAGGGAATGGCTACCCATGAGCCTGACCACAGATGTCCACCCCTTAAAACTTGGAGATGCTGTATGGGTAAAGAAATACAATGTCCAACCCCTAAAGCCTCTTTTGAGGGGACAATTCACTGTAATTTTACCCACCCCTACCTACAATCAAGGTGGCCAAGGTGGTCCCCTGGATTCAGCACAGCAGAGTGAAACCAGCTTTATGTAACTGGGCATGCATCCCCAAGCCACCCCCATGCAAGTTTACCACCTAAAATAAGCAAGCTGCACCCTCAAGAGACCCCAAAGACAACATCCCTGCTTTAGTCACTCTGGAAGCTGACTAATATGTGCACGGCAGAAGCTTGAGGGATAGACCACCTGCCAGGATAAACGGACTTTTATCTCCTATAAGTTTCTCACAAAAATGCTTGGGCACCGTCACCCCTTACCCCTCTCTGTTGTCACAGTCCTAGCCTTAATTTTTGCTGTAGGATTAGCAGAGACTGCGCCAACTGACTGACACTGGGTTGAAAAGTCTCTATTAGCATTTTTTTCACCCCACCCTTTAAATTTTTTTTAATTTTGATGTTATATATGACAACAGAATGCATTACAATTCATATTACAATTCATATTACAATTATAGAGCACAATTTTTCATATCTCTGGTTGTACACTCTTCACCCCCTTTTGATAGGGCATTTTGTTGCCCTTGGAAGCATCTGATCTGGCTCCCATTTTTAGATTTAAGCTCTTCATCCTGTGACCCAGGCCTTCACATGATTCAATCGGGCCAAGGTGTTGCCACAACTTACTTTATTATTTTTCCTGCCAGGGAACAGTCTTGGGGACCTGCAGGTATAACAAGACCACATATTCTATCTGCCAACAGGGGGATCAATATACTTGTTTCAATCCGCAGTATTCCCCAGCTGAGGATTGGCTGGAAGTCCAAAGCTTACCAGAAGGCGACGAGAAACAGGTCCATTAATTTACACAGTTGACTAATCTAAAGCAACCAGTGTCAGTATCCTTGATGCATGGGAGGTCATGAGACTTGAGCACTTGATGTTACCTGCCCTATGGTCTCAGTAAGTGTGAACAGCCTGAAAATGGTGTGTGGGGTCCATGGGTAATGATTATGCTGAGTTTTTTGGTCCCTCTTGTGTTACATGGGCCACCTGGCAGAGTGGTAACAGTAAAACTCCCAAACTTCAAAAGGGTGTTGCTACACCAGCTATAAATTGCAAGCCTATAATTTTGTTAATTTCACTATTGTTGACCCTGAAGACTCAGCATGGAGAACAGGCCACCCAAGTGGCCTATGTATAGTTTGGAGGAGGTGCTGCCCTGGAACCAGATGGTACTTCAAAGGGGTTACAACTTCACTGAAGTCTTCCTCCCACCAGATCTTTCATTCCTTTTATGAGGAAACGGAGAAAAGCCTGTCTCCTATCTTCGCCATAAACAGAAACCCATTCCTAACCTTGGCAGAGGCTCGGGTTCAATCTCTAAACATGTCTTCTTGCCATGTGTGTAGAGAAACCGATACAGGGTATCAGTGGCCATGGGAGGCTCAAGAGCTAGACCCCCATGAGCCCTATAGTGGAATCATTCTCTCCTCTTCAACCACTGGTGTCTGGTTCCTCAAAACCTCAATTGTTAGAAAATATTGTCTTACCTGAGAGGAAAAACTGTTTTAACATCTCAGTTGGGTCTCTACCATGTCTGGGCCAAAAACTCTGTAAAATAACTACCCAGATAACTACACTGGCTACGTGGAAGGGCCACCTATGCTAAAGTGCCCCAATTCTGGTCCAGATCTGGTGTACGGGGACAATTTGCCCCTCCTTTTTCCTCCTTCCATTAGCAAGATGGGAGTAGTTGGGAGCCCCAGGATATGAAGACCAAGGGGCCCAAAGAGAGTGGCGACTGGCAAGATGACGAATGGCCCCCTGAGTGGATAATTCACTATTTTGGTCCAGCCACCTGGGCAGAAGAGGGGCCCTGCGGGTACTGAACTCCCATGTATATGTGAAATCACATCGTTAGGCTAACAGCTGTTGTTGAAATTATAACTAATGAGACGCGACACAAGCCCTCAATTTACTGGCTAAGCAAGGTATATTCAAGTGCACAATGCTATTCATCAGAATTGTTTAGCATCAAACACTACTTGCTTGCTTCTGAAGGTGAGATGAGTGGGAAATTTAACCTGGGCAACTATTACCTACAAATAGATGATGAGGGCAAGGTCAGAGTAGAAATCAGATTAAAACAACAACAACAACAAAAAAGGTCATTTATGTCTTGGTCCAGACTTGAAAAGGTTGGAATCACAAGAAATTATTTGAAGGATGGTTTTCAGTTTTGGGGGGATTCAAAACTCTTACAAGTGATGTGGGTTTAATGCTGGGAGCCTGCCGACTCCTACCCTGCCATATTACCCCTGGTTATGAACTCTATCTCCAGTCTCATGGAGGTATGGTTGGGCAGCACGTGTTATGATGTCACARAGATATAAGCCTTTAAGTCAGGATGATGCCCTTTGACCCTAAAGGGATCTGAGCATCAAAGGGGAGAATGTGGTAAGGGCCCTCCCAGAACCAAGAAAAGGCAACATGTCACATTTACTGTGCATGCCAGCTCTGCTGTAAATCTGGGGTGACTCTGTTGTAACTCAGTTATGTGTGATGCTGTTCCAACTTTGTTGCAACTCTATAGCATAAAAATACCCAATCAGAATGTGTATTACCTTATATGGGAGACAAAGAGCTTGCCAGAGGTATATAAGGCCAGCATCCCTGCATACTCAGCCTTTGGATAACAATCCTCTGGGTCTCTGCAGGCACAAATAAATAAATTCCTTCCTGTTGAATGTCTCGGTGCCCTGTCTGTGTTCAAATCCCACCATAGCAGGGGTGATTGCTGGGGGCCTGGATGAGTCAACTGATCAACATCCGGGGTCTGCAGGATCTACTGGGGAATCAGCTGCCCCTGAGGCCATGCTCAGTGCCTCCTGCCTGCATTCCGTGGCCCATGCAGGCTCAGCTCTGACATGATGCGCCAGAAGGGCAAGTTTTCCCAGCTCTCCTCGCCCCTGCAACCAGCTGAACCAGGACTGGTCAGCGCCTCCCCACCAGGAGCAACTCTGGAACGGTTCTTCTCTGGCTGCCACAAAAGGGCACAGGTACCTACCGAGACAGTTAAAAAACAGGGTGAGATTGGAAAGATCAGGGGTGGGTGGAGCTGAGATCATCCAAACAGAACTGGCCACCTAGAGCTGATGTTGCCCACCACACCTGGGCTTTCGAAGATGCTGTCCACTGTGCCTGGAACTACCCTTGTTCTTTTACCCACTGCAGTTTTGAAAATCCATTCCTTTAATGTTATTTAATTTAGCACCCACTATCTGCTAGGAACTATTCTAGATGATGAATTACAGAGAAGACTCTATCCTGTGGGACATGGAAACAATCTCCCAATAAACGCCCTTCATCGACAGTCCAGATTGAAGGAAGTAACTGTACTGTGGGACGCGGCTTTTCCAGGCCCCAACACAGGCTCTGGCACATACTTGGTGCCCAAGGGAAGTAAACTAATGAATAATCGATGTGCACAAAGGCCCTGGGCTCAATCCCCAGCACAAAAAATAAATAAATAAATAAATAAATAAATAAATAAATAAATATCATATTTGGGAAGGTGGAAAATTCACCTGGCAATGGCCCTGTTATATTCCCAGGGCCCTAACAAATGTGTGCCCCTCAACAGGTAATCAACGAACTCTTTAAAGACATAATTAGAATCGCCATTCATAATTAAGCACAAATTGTATAACAACTCGTGTGTTAAGCCTTTTACATACATGATAGACCCCAAAAGTCACCTATGTCTGAGACCCCGCCTTGGCCCCGCCCACCCCTCAGAGCCTGCCCCTCCAGAGCCACGCCCTCAGCCCTTCCCAGTAGGGTCCTCCCAGCGCCTTTTGGCTCTGGAGGCCCGGAGTCCCTAAGCACTGGCTCACCATCACTGACCGCAGCCCCCGAAGGTTTCCTGCTCCAAGCAGCACGCCACAGCTCCTGCACCAGCAGTGGGCGCTCCGAGTAGCCCAGCACAGGCAGGTGCTCCAGCCGCCACTCGCTGCTGCCCACTCTGGCCTTGGCTAGTTGATCCAGCGCGTTGCACAGCATGAAGACGTCCAGCGCTGCTGCGCGTCCCTGGGACTCGTCAGTCCTCTAGCGCCCCCAGATTTGGTGGTCCCGGTTCCCGAACCACGAAAGAGCTGAGAGATGGGCTTGGTGTGGTTCCTCGAGGGTCTCCATACAGCATTCACTACGCCCACACGCCCACCACCTGCACATCAGGACAGTTGATCCTACACTGCAGCTCGCGGTGTCACAGGAGGAATACCTGGGAGCCACCAGTGAAGCAAGACACAAGAGAGTCATCCAGAAAGGCAAGCAGACACCAAGATGGGGTCCCAGGAAGAGGGAAGCACACAAAGGCCAAAGAGAGAGACAGGGACCAAGAGAGAAGGGAGCAGAGAAGAAAGAATAGACAATGACCCAGGGTCTACCAAGATAGGTGGTGGGTAGAAGTCACAGAAAAGAGAGATTCAAATAAACAAAGGCCAATCCCCCACTCCCAAGAGGTGAGCAAGAGGGGAGGAAGGAAGGCCAATCACAGCCGGCTCTGTGTGGCCTCAGTGCCTAAGCCCACCTCTGTGTGGCCCACCCCAGTGCCTAAGCCCCCCTCCCCCCCCATGGGCCCAGGTAAACCAGTATCTGACTTCCTGCTCTCATCACCCAGGCTCCCTTGCCCATTCATGACTGGAACAGGAGACAGGTCTCTCAGGGTCCCTGACAAGAGAGCAATGCATGGGGCTGAGCCCAAACCAGGGACAGATGGAAGGCAGGTGGGCCAGGGGCAGGTGGACCACTTTGTGGCTAC